CTATATCAATTTGTATCCATGTGTTTAGACAATATATTTATCTGCGTGTGTGTATGCGTGTTATAAATTTACATCTAGATATATTTCATATTTCTTGTAATTATATAGATTCACATATATCTAAGTAGTCATATATATATATATATATATATATATATATCATTGTATATTATTACATTTTTTATTATGTATCTAATTGAATACAATGTATCCAACCGCATACGATGTATCCTTAATGGTGTATCTCTATTTTGCTCGCACACTCGCTCAATCTCCCGGAAGTAAATAATGAAGCGATCACGTGCCAGCCTGGTGACGTAAAACAGCGCTCACTTTTTTGATCTGATTTTTCACTGCCCTGTCCTCGCTCTAATAATAATAATTTGAGGCTCGAGAGTGATTTCAAGATTTTGTTGTTAACGTTATTATTATTATCATTGTTAGTAATAATAGTTGTAGAGGTAGGAGCAGCAGCAGCAGTGGTGTTAGTAGCAGTAGTAGTAGTGGTGGTGGTAGTAGTAGTAACAGTAGTAGTAGTAGTAGTAGTAATAGTGGTGGTGGTGATAGTAGTAGTAGTAGTAGGAGTGGTAGTAGTAGTAGTTGTAGTAGTAATAGTAGTAGTGGTAGTAATAGTAGTAGTGGTAGTAGAAGTAGTAGTAGTAGTGGTAGTAGTAGTAGTAGTAGCGGTAGTAGAAGTAGTAGTAGTAGTGGCAGCAGTAGTAGTAGTAGGGGTAGTAGTAGTAGTGGTAAAAGTAGTAGAAGTATTATAATGGTGTCATCATTATTCATCAAATCCTTCTTGAACTATTTACCTATAAAGTTTAATGTATTCGGAGTATTATATTATGTACATGTATATACGGTCAAAAACATATACACAAACACACATATATAACTCACCCTCATCAACAACAAAAACAACAACATCAACAACTCTAACATTAACAACAACAACAACATCCTTAATTGCATGCATTTTTTTCGAATCGCTCACGTGATCGTTGACGTCACAAGCTTGTTGCCGAGCAGCAATCTATCATTTATCATGCTGCTAGTCTGTGGTTGAAATTTTGTTGTTGTTTTGTTGTTGCTAATCTTGTTGTTATTGTTGTTGATGTTGTTAATGTTAATGTTCAGATTAAATTTGTTGTTGTTGGCAATGTTGTTGCTGATGTTGGTTATGTTGTTGTTGATGTCATTTTTGATGTCGTTGGCTTGCTGTTGTCTTTTTCAATATCAATGCTTATCAATGCTCAAAAGTTTTTTTAACTATGTCGTTATCGGTGAAATTTTCATTTTTTAAAAATTCAGTTTCTGTTCTATATGTTTTATACAAGGTCTGTATGTATTTTGTATGTTTCGCATGCTATGTTTTTTTAGTATGTATATAATTAGTATAATTCTTGATCGGATTGAAGCCTGTATATGTTTTGTATGCCAATTGTATCTTTTGTATGCAATCTGTCTAAGTTTTCTACATGCATCTTATGTTTAACTTTATAATTTTGTTGTTGTTTGCGTTTCACAGTTATTTTATTTTAAATGAAAGTTTTTTAAAATAGTACTTCTCGGTTTAGTGGTAGTTGACGGTGTTTCTGTTAGCGTTGTAGTATTTTTAGTTATTGATTGATGCTGTTGCTAGTCTGGGTTATCGTTAACCTCGTCTTGCAACGATTGTCGCGGCTGCATTAGCCTCAGAAAACGTTAAAAAATCGAAAATATATTATCCACTCATTGTGCAATTATCCACGCTTCTGAATAATAATTAACTTGCTTAACTAAATAAACTACAGACATCCATCCAGGAAATGAACAAAAAGTTTCTGCATCATACACCAGTAAGGATGGTGGCATGATATGGGATGCAAATCCTCCCCCAACCTCTCGAAATCGATAATGGAGCTGGAAAACCAATGATGATATTAGACTACAATAAAACAAAGGCGGCTGTTGATCGAGTTGGTCAACTATGTCAAAATTACAGCGTTCAGAACAAAACGATGGAACAAGTAAGTAGGGAATAAATAATAATGTTGACTGGAGACTGGATGCATGTTTGTATATGTTCGTATCGTAGCGCTATGTTTGTTTTTGTTCACCGTATGTGTATTGAGTGTGTGTACAAACAAAACGAAATCTAACTCGTAACATGAAAGAGAAATAAAATAGGTAGGATTAATTCGTAAGTTGAGCTAATTGAACATAGGTAGGTGAGTTAATTTAGTGAACATACATCATGTTTTTGTGGTAGTATTTTATATTGTGCTTTACTCCTTTTTCTCTTTCTTTATGAGTTTTAGTTTTTTTTTTTTTTTTTTGAAAATTTTTACGGCACAGCAGCTCCTAAGATGGTGCTATAATGTGCCAGTAATTTTAATATTTTTTTCTTAATTTTTATTTTATTTTTCATAATTACGTAGTTATTATTATTACATCTTCAAAATCAATCACAGCCGAAAAGGAAGAATCCGATCAAAATATATCTAAACATCAATCCAGA